TAAGGATTATTCTTCAACGCACAGAAAAATATGAAGACATGTTTAATAAATATTGAAATATATTTATATAAGAAAAAATATTCAGCAGAGTTGCTCTAACGACTAAGCAAACATACTACTTACGTAAAAAATAATAAAAAATTAAAATAAACGTAACTAGAAAAAATCACATTAGATGGCCAAATGCTAGGCAAGAATCATTCAGAAAAGATATGTATAAGCCCATTCATGAACACTGGAGCCCCTAGCTGCATGATAAAGCACAGGTTAGCAAGTCGTGCCATTCTTAAGACACAATAAGATTAATATAGAGCTAGATTTAGTTCCATATGTGTATTGCTCTAAATGTATGTAGCAGGTAACGTAAATTATGAAGAGAAATTTTCTTAATTTTAAAGTCGCTGGCCGACCAAATCTTATAAAATACTGTTTAGCGTTAAATTTCTCGTTTGTTTTACGAGTAAAATTACAAACACACATGAAAAAAAAGTTTAAAAAAATATAAAATATTTTTAAGTGAACGTAAGAACAATCAGTGTTGCAAATTTTACCAACTCTCCATTAGAAAGTTAAACATTTATATAAAATAATGCTCAAATACACATAATTAAAAGAAAAATTTTGCATTTATGAATTTTTAACTTTCTCCACTTTACAAAGAAATCATAAATATTTTGTGTACGTGTGTGTTGTTTCGAATAACATTTAGCGGTAAAAAACACATTTAGCAAGTAAATGAAATATGAAAAAGCAATTCAAAACAAAAACAAAAAATTAACATAACAAAAATAAAACTAAAAAAAATAATTAATAACAAACGATTGCAATATTAACGTGAAAATAAAAAGTATAAAAAACAACAACTCTACAACTGTTAAAGGTATTAATATTAAGCATAAATTACGTTAAATATAAAAATATATGTTTATGTGTATAAAAAATAATAATTATTAACAAAAGTATATAAGGCATACTTTACATACATACGAACCTACGAACGTCAACGTGAGAGTCATAACGGGCATGCTGTCATAGGCAGGCGAACGTCGAAAAACAACAACATCAATAAATGCACGAGCAAAATACAGTTGATATATTTTTTAG